CCTTTTTTTTTTTTTTTTTTTTTTTTTTGGCTACAGTAATCCTGGTTTTTAATGCTGCGCCTTTGAATTTTTTAAATTGCTACAGTATACACTCTGCTGTAGTGTTTTTTAATTGCTACAGTATCCCTTTCTGCCGCAGCGGTTTTCCAAAATTCCACGTCGTTCCCTTGCGCTGCAGTATTTTTTTCAAAAGTACTACAGTATCTGATTGCCACAGTAAATAACGGTTGTAGCATTTACTATAGCATGACTGGTGAATCTTGGGTTTCCCCATTTGTATAAAGTAATAGATTTGACCTTCTACATCTGCCTTTCACATGAATACTTTTGTTAGTCAATCACCAGTTAATTTTTATGAAAAATTTCATATTAATCAATGTTAGCATGCGAAGAAATTTTTTATGTAAAGACTGATTGCATGCAGAGCATGACAGAACAAATGAATAGAAATAGAGATAATTTTCTCCACTTCTCATTATACATGAAAACTTAAAAAACAGGTATTTCCGTTCTCCCTCCACACCCCTCCCGTAACACAAATCCTATCGGAACTCTTTTTATGCTGCCCATCCATTTTAGGGCTTAAATCTCAACCGTCCACGGATCTCAAAGCATTATATTGTTCATGGTTATCATGAAACTGACTCCTTACTTCTAATGCAGGCATGGTGGTGACGGTACGATGGATGATGAGGGCAAGGCAGACCGACGTTGATGTTTGTGTATTTGTAACTTTCTGTCTTATTTGATGTGTGAAAACTAAACGCTAGAGTGTAAAAACCTCCATACATTATTGGTGTTGTATTTTTTTTCCCGTGCTGATATTTATTTTCCCCATTAACAGAGGTTTGTGCAATGTATCATTATCGAGAACTGGTTATCTTCCCATGAGCGTTATTGGCTATGTTCCCAGTGAATATCAAGTTTGGTGTAAAGTCTGATGATGTAGGGGGTGATGTTTCAATTGCTGATGATAGTGTGCAAGTTGTTGATTTTGTCTCAGCTAAATTGATGGGAGTAAATCCTCCTTTATTTGCTCTTATATACTTTCTATCTATCCTTCACGCATCACCGCCCACCCACCTACCCACACAAAAAAAAATTTCCCATTTGCTCTCAAATCATTCATCAAGTTGGCATGGTATTTAAATCAGTAATTAATATCCTGCACTATTGGCTCAATGTGGGGGCCAGGATTCTGCTGATATGTTAGGAAATAATGCCGATGGCAGGTACCAATCACTACAAAATGGTCACAAGCAGGCAATCAGAAAATAACAACTATCATGGTCCAGCACTAGTAAATAATATCTAAACTTGTCCTATCAAAATTTAGACAAAACTAATTCCTAAACTATAATCATTCATTTGTATGGAAAGTTCAATTCAGTAGCTTGTTATCCTCCAAGCACATTAATGATTTCATTCTAACGTATGATATGAGTATTGTTATCTCTCTTGTGAATTACATACTTGCATTGATTCTTACTTTTCTATCTTTATTAAATCCATCAAAACTTTTTAACTTCTCTTTTGACTAGTGAGTGAAAAGTAGTAGCTAGCCCCAGACCCAGACAATGAAGGGCCTAGGCCCGTTGCTGAACCATTGAGCTCGTACAATTAAATGCTACTAGGGGAAAGCAAAGGGTGCATGCATGCGCCCCCATCTACCAGTCAACTTCTTCACACGATCATCTGCAATCATAATTACTTATAATTTTCATTAATTTATGGGGAGCAATAAAAGGGTGCGACAAATAAGTTGAACCTATAGATTTGTCTTGTTCTGAAATTTGTACCTCAAAGATCTAGAGGGATGATGGCTTCCAAGTTTAGGGGGTCTTTATCACAGAAAATGTTGGGTCCGCACTTGCACGTGTTAACTCCCGTCATGTGCATGTTTGCATGCGCACTCTTGCTACCAAACATTTTGAACTGCACCTCATATTCATTCTTTTTTTAGTGTGCATGTATATGTGTATGTATGTGTATGTATTTGCATTTAGATATACACATACAATACACATATGCTATTGGATATATGCATATTGCATAGCGCACACACAACTACACATATATGCGACGGACAAATATGGAGTAAATGAGAGCTAGTCATATCATCGACTTGACACACATACAGACTGTTACATTTCACATCATAAACATACTGAGAACATTGTTGATGGCTTGAATGACCATCATATCAGTAGCAGACCGACAACCAACAACATGACGATACAGACCAACGACATTTAACTTTTTATGCATTGTCAAGTTCACCTTGCACTAAGTAGAGACCAAGGGGCTTAGAAATATTTAGCTAGTGCATTCTCTACGGAACCAAAGAGAAAAAAACTCCTCATCTCCAAATAAGGAAGAAACTTTTTCGTTGGCCACCATACTTCTGAAAGCACATAAGGCTGTCCTGTATTAAGTACAGTGGCTCTCTTACTCTCATTGTTGCCACTTGAACTTTAGAGGTAGGAACCATGAAAAAAGTTATGAAAGTTCAATCTAGCCATGCAACTTTCTTTTTAATTTGATAATTGAATCACTTTCTTCTTGTGCACATCTTTTTCTTTTGACCTTTTGCTCCATCAAGACGAAATTAAAAGAAGGAAGCAAAGTGCAGACCATCATAAATTCACATTTCTCTATTTTTAGGTCCAATTCTATGGTTAGAAACAGTAGATTTATTAAAGAGAATGAGATGTATATATCTATCATCATGAAGAATCTAACAATGAGAGCTTCCAGACGCAAGAGTGAATAACAAGAATCCATCGCTTCGTCATTTTTCTAAACATAGTGGCCAAAATTTATCCTTACAACCCTCTCAAGTCAATTATGTCCATTATATTAAAGCTCTATGTTCTTAGAACTTTTTCCTTCTTTTTGGATATACATGAATATTCTTTAGCTTTATGCTGGCACGTTTCTCTAAACGCTCAAGCATTAGGTTTAGACTAGAATGGTAGTACTCTTGAAGTACTTTTTACGAATCATTTTTTTAATGTAGAACACACGACATACATGTTTATATCAAAGTGGGGCAGTCGCAAGCTCAAACGCAGGCCCGGTCGAGGAAAATAACTTGCTACGAAGAAACAATTATAACTTTCAAACCGTAGGTCGGAATTGGGTGAATTATATATGAAAATCGACTATCTCGACGAGACGAAGCCAACCAAACCACATTTAAGGGTTCGGTTTGCTTCATTCGTTTCGCCAATTTCCTTACAGATTGAGAGAGATCTCCATTTTTGTCCGTTTTTACTATTTTTTTAGTAATGATTTAGGAGTCTGTATTGATTATGAAACAAATCCGATTTGATCTCAGATTTGACCAGTAGACTTTCCTAGACATAAGGAGTCTTTTTATACGTTAGCACACATTTGGAGAAAACAGAATAGTAGAATTTGTTAGATCTAAATCAAAACTTGAGATCTAAAACCATATAGCCATGATTAATTCAAAGAGATTAACAAGGATCTAAAAGAGCGGAAGCTTATACCTGAATCCATTGCTTGATCTTGATTTTGGGTGTTGGATCTTCTAACCTTAGGGTTCTCTCTAAAACCGAATTTCTCTAGCTAGATGGGGGTGTAGAGAATTAGAGAATGTAACCCTAGGTTAGGGACCATAACCCCTTATTTATAGATGTTGTACTTTTGTAATTTAGCCCCTCAATAAATTACAATTACAACCTGGTATCTGCACATATAACCCCATGACTTATTTAAATACCAAATTAACCCAACTTAATTGATCACTTTAGTGGGTTATCCTGAAAGATAGCAATACACATTGTTTAATCATATGTGCCCACAAATAGATTTATTAGATTAAATCCAACAATCTCCCACTTGGGCACCATATGATTCCTTAAATTGTGTATAACCTTATGAGCTCAAAAATTGCTATCACTGAAAAGGTATTTCCGAACAATCTCGTCCATTGACTATATCAATATAGGATCAAAGCGGCCTTCGTCACATTTATCGTGACTCGACCCATCAATGGTCACATATACCAATACAATCAAACGACATAGATCAATCATGGATGTGCAGCATGAAAATTACATGCAATGTGATCAGTACATGTCTATTTTCAACTGGTCCTCCTTAGTGAGGTCAAAACCAAACATAATGTAACAGAGTGTCTTAACTGAAAACTTTATTCTGATCAGACAATACAAACAAACATAAAGCACCACAAATACAAACTCCCACTAAAACATAATATCCTCAAATAATACCACACCCATATGAGCAGTATGCTCATGAAAGACCTTAGGTGGCAATCCCTTAGTAAGAGGATCAGCTATCATGGAGTTTGTCCCAATGTGCTCTATGGATATCTGTCCACTCTGTACCCTTTCTTTCACAACCAGGAACTTAATGTCAATATGTTTTGACTTAGTTGAGCTCCTGTTGTTATTGGAATACATTACTGCAGATTTATTGTCACAATATAACCTTAGTGGTCTTTCAACATTTTCCAAAATGCGCAGTCCCGTGACAAAATTTCGCAGCCATATTCCCTGATTGGATGCCTCATAGCAAGCTACAAATTCTGCTGCCATAGTGGAGGAAGCTACTAGTGTTTGTTTGACACTTTTCCATGATATAGCTCCTCCTGCTAACATATAAATGTAGCCTGATGTAGACTTCCTGCTATCTTGGCATCCAGCAAAATCAGAGTCCGAATACCCAATGACCTCTAATTTCTCTGATTTTCTGTATGTGAGCATGTAATCTTTTGTTTTCTGAAGATACCTCATAACCCTTTTGACTGCTATCCAATGATCCATACCAGGGTTGCTTAAGTATCTGCCTAACATCCCAACAATGTACGCAATATCCGGACGCGTACATACCTGAGCATACATTAGACTTCCTACAGCCGAAGCATAAGGAATCTTCTGCATTTCCTGAATTTCAAGGTTACCTTTAGGGCACTGATTGAGACTAAACTTGTCTCCTTTAGCAACAGGGGTGTCACCTGGTCTGCAATCTTGCATGCCAAACCTTTTAAGTACCTTATCGATATAGCTCTTTTGTGATAATCCAAGAATACCCCGAGAGCGATCTCGATGTATCTGGATCCCTAATATAAAAGAGGCGTCCCCAAGATCTTTCATCTCAAAATTCTTTGATAGAAATCTCTTGGTTTCGTGCAACATGCCTATATCATTAGTGGCAAGCAAGATGTCATCCACATACAGAACCAGAAAAATATACTTACTCCCACTGAACTTGTGATATACACAGTCATCAACAATGTTCATCTCAAAACCGAACGAGATAACTATTTGTTGAAACTTATGATACCATTGACGAGGAGCTTGCTTGAGTCCATAGATGGATTTCCTTAATTTGCAAACCATATTCTTTGGGTCTCCTGACACAAAGTTTTCTGGTTGCACCATATAAATCATCTCATCAATGTCTCCATTGAGAAATGCAGTCTTAACATCCATCTGATGTAACTCAAGATCATAATGAGCAACAAGTGCCATGATTATTCTGAAAGAGTCTTTCGATGAAACCGGAGAGAAAGTCTCTGTATAATCAATGCCTTCCTTTTGAGTATAGCCTTTAGCCACAAGACGCGCCTTATACCTCTCCACATTACCGTTTGCATCCCGCTTGGTTTTAAAAATCCATTTACAACCAATTGGTTTTGCACCTTCTGGCAATGGGACAAGTTCCCAAACCTTATTGTCTTGCATAGACTTATACTCTTCATTCATGGCATCAATCCACTGTTGAGAGTTAGAACTTTTCATGGCCTGAGAGAAGTTGATTGGATCATCTTCTAACATTCCACTACTTTCCTCATGTTCTTGGAGAAATACAATATAATCATCCGGAATAGCATTTCTCCTTTCTCTCGTGGATCTCCTTAATGGCACTGGTTCTTGAGGTTGTTGAGTTTGTTCTTCTGGAACAGGGAGTTGTTCAACATTATCATCTTGAGGTTCCGGATTTACTTCTTGAGCAACAACAGGTATAGGAACCTGAATATTGTCAAAAGTAACTGTATGGATTGGATCTGAAGCCAATTCCTCCTCAAAACTAATGTCTCTAACCTTATTTCTCCCCCCAAACTCAACATCCTCAAAGAATGTTGCTGTTCCCGTCTCAAAAATATTCCTTATAGTGGGATCATAAAACTTATAGCCCCTAGAGCGATCAGGGTACCCAATAAAGTAGCTGCTAACTGTTTTGGAGTCCAATTTCTTTTCATTTGGCCTATAAGGCCTTGCCTCAGCTGGACATCCCCAAATATGTAAATGCTTTAAACTGGGCTTTCGACCAGTCCAAAGCTCATAAGGTGTTTTAGCAACTGCTTTACTTGGTACTCTATTCAGAATGTAAGCTGCTGTCTTAAGTGCTTCTCCCCAGAGTGACTCTGGTAAAGAAGAATGAGCAATCATACTTCTTACCATATCCTTAAGAGTCCTGTTTCGTCTTTCAGCTACACCATTCATGCTAGGTGAACCCGGCATAGTGTACTGTGGGACGATACCGCATTCCTCTAGGTATCTAGCAAATGGTCCTGGACGTTGTTCACCTGAACCATCATATCTACCGTAGTACTCACCACCACGATCAGATCTGACGGTTTTAATTCTTCTGTTGAGTTGATTCTCAACTTCAGCTTTATAGGCTTTGAACATGTCCAGAGACTCAGATTTTTCATGAATAAGATATAGGTGCCCATAACGTGAGTAATCGTCTATGAATGATATAAAATATTGTTGACCATTCCAGGATTCCGTAGGGAATGGCCCACAAATATCCGTATGTATCAATTCTAAGACATCCGAAGATCTGTTGGCACCTAATCTCTTCACTTTGGTCTGTTTTCCCTTGATACATTCAACACATACGTCGAAGTCCGAAAAATCAAGGGAATCCAAAATGCCATCAGACACAAGACGCTCAACTCTACCTTTTGAGATATGACCTAAGCGCTTATGCCATAATGTCGCCGAATTTTCCTTATTTAATTTACGCTTAGTACCACGTGATTCCACATGCAAGGATTCATTGTAAGAAGCAATTGTATCAAGCAAATATAGGTTGTCATAAATACTCAAGTAACCGGTTCCCACAACATTTGAATTAAAAGATAAACTGAATTGACTGTTTCCAAATGAACAAGAATAACCTGATTTGTCCAATACAGAAACAGAAACCAAATTCCGTCTAAAAGACGGTACTACAAAAGTATCTTTTAAATCCAAATAATAACCAGTTCCTAACAACAACCTAAAGTGCCCAATTGCTTCCACATCTACCGATTGTCCGTCGCCCACAAAGATGTGTCTTTCAACATCACTTGGCTTTCGGTAGCTCAGGCAACCCTGCATAGAAACACTTATGTGAGTAGTAGCACCAGAGTCTAACCACCAAGTGTTTCTAGGTACTGAAGCTAAATTAACCTCAGAACAGACCAAAGCAAGGAACGTACCCTTATTATCACGCCAGGCGTGATATTTTGTACAGTCCTTCTTTACATGTCCAGGCTTCTTACAGAAGAAACAACCCTGATTATCCTTATGTTGTTTCTTCTCAACTGGACCCTTAGCAGCTTCCTTATCATTCTTCCTTTTCTTGCCCTTATCCTTAGAGGCATAGGCCAAATGAGCACTTTCTGTCTTATCTTGCTTCAACCTGTCTTCTTCTTGCACACAGTATGAAATGAGCTCATTTAGAGTCCATTTCTCCTTTTGACAGTTATAACTGACCTTAAATTGGTTAAACTGTGCAGGAAGAGACAACAAAACCAGATGCACTAATAACTCGTCACAAAGATCGAGTTTAAGTGCCTTAAGCTTTGAAGCAATATGAGACATTTCCATAATGTACTCCCTGATATTTCCTTTGCCCTTATACTTCATTGAAATCAAGCGAGCTAAAAGCGTGCTTGTTTCTACCTTATCGTTTTTCGCAAAACGCTTCTCAATTTCGGCAAGGAAATCTTTAGCCTTAGTAATCCCTTCGGATTCTATGCCCCTGAAGGCTTCCGGAACGCCGCGCTTAATGATCATAAGACTCATGCGATTTGAACGCTCCCACTTCTCATGCTCCTTCTTTGCATCAGGAGTGCTATCCGCATTGAGAGGTTGGGGTTGTTCAGTTCTTAATGCATAGTCAAGATCCATGCAGCCAAGAACAATTAATATGTTCTCTTTCCAAACCTTGAAGTTTGTCCCATTTAGCATGGGAATTGAGTTGATGTTAGCAGAAATTGTTGCAGCAGATGCATTAGCTGAAATAAAACAAAAATGCTCACATCAATAACCATAATCAATAAAATTCAAATAATGACAATCCCCATCCAAGATACCGGCACAACATTAATATCAAGTCTTTGGACAGTAATATTAACTTGTAAGTGATACCTTGTTGCAATGATCAAACATTGACAATAACTCATGTCAAATAATGAAACTATCTTTGGATCGATTCATTATTCACATGTAAACCTTATAATTGTCACACGCTTATCATCGCAGATGTGTATACAGTCTAAATAAATATTAACCTTCCTTTGGGCCGATTAAATATTTACACGAAAGCATACACACAAACATCTCACATTCCTCATGAACAATCTACACAAGAGAGGTTACTTTGGCAACTTCTTGTTTCAATTAATCAATTGGAGTGAGAGACAACCTTAATACCTTAGTGTCATAATATTTGAATTAAATAATTGATTAAAAACCAAATTAGATTTAAATTAAAAAGTTTTAATTTAAATCAACTGAATTTCCAAAAACTTAATTGGGGTCTCACAGCTTAATTAGGGCCCATAACTTAATTGAATAAATTAAGTATACCAAAGTGGACCCATGAAAAGCCGAGGCTTAACCATAATGAACACGAAGTTCCCTTAACTTCGAACGCGAGGTTCGACTGTATTGAGTACGAGACTCACTTAAGCACGAACGCGAGGTTCGTCTGAAAATGAACGAACGCGAGGTTCGTTTGATAAAAGAACGCGAGGTTCAACTTGGGAACGAACGCGAGGTTCGTTTAAAAAATGAACGCGAGGTTCGACTGAAGTACGAACGCGAGGTTCGTCTGAAGTACGAACGCGAGGTTCGTCTGAAGTTCGAACGCGAGGCTCGACTGAAGCACGAACGCGAGGTTCGTCTGAAGTACGAACGCGAGGTTCGTCTGAAGTACGAACGCGAGGTTCGTCTGAAGTACGAACGCGAGGTTCGTCTGAAGTACGAACGCGAGGTTCGTCTGAAGTACGAACGCGAGGTTCGTCTGAAGTACGAACGCGAGGTTCGTCTGAAGTACGAACGCGAGGTTCGTCTGAAGAACGAACGCGAGGTTCGTTAAAAAAATTGAGCTTGACGCTCACCTGAGTTGAACGCGAGGTTCACCTTAGAACGAACGCGAGGTTCGTTAAAATTGAGCTTGACGCTCACCTGAGTTGAACGCGAGGTTCACCTTAGAACGAACGCGAGGTTCGTTGAGCGCGAAGCTCGGTTAAAATTGAACGAACGCGAGGTTCGTTTGAGGTAACCACCTCCTTGATTTTCGCCATGAACCCTTAGGGTTTCAAACTGAAACCGCCGCCGTCAAACACAAAAAATCTTTGATTTTTATTTTCAAAACAGATCCAGAATTGGAAAAAATTGAAGGAAAAATCAAAGAAAAATCCAAACAAAATTTTTACTGTTCATCCGAACCCAAAAAATTGAATCTTTAACCAGAGATTTAAGATCAAAAAACCCAATAAAACTTAAATCCCTAAGAATTAATCAATGTGGCTCTGATACCACTTGTTAGATCTAAATCAAAACTTGAGATCTAAAACCATATAGCCATGATTAATTCAAAGAGATTAACAAGGATCTAAAAGAGCGGAAGCTTATACCTGAATCCATTGCTTGATCTTGATTTTGGGTGTTGGATCTTCTAACCTTAGGGTTCTCTCTAAAACCGAATTTCTCTAGCTAGATGGGGGTGTAGAGAATTAGAGAATGTAACCCTAAGTTAGGGACCATAACCCCTTATTTATAGATGTTGTACTTTTGTAATTTAGCCCCTCAATAAATTACAATTACAACCTGGTATCTGCACATATAACCCCATGACTTATTTAAATACCAAATTAACCCAACTTAATTGATCACTTTAGTGGGTTATCCTGAAAGATAGCAATACACATTGTTTAATCATATGTGCCCACAAATAGATTTATTAGATTAAATCCAACAAAATTTTTATACGTTAGCACACATTCACGTCGACAAGTATTAGACAATCACTAACCAATCAAGTGGATGAATTTCATGTTTAATTCTCAAACACATTTCTTTTTTAGTAACCAGCGCAATGGAAAACTTTTTTAAAAAAAGTCTAAAGTGAATAGACGCAGGCTATAAAAATACCACTGCAGTTCGAAATTATATGGTTATCCTGAAAAAGATAGGGTCTCGTTAACTATTCACCGGGGGCAAAGGTGTCTTTCCTTATTTTTAACTTCAATTGGAGCCAAATATCCTTCTACATAACACCCAGAGATAGACCCCTCCCAAAAAAATTAATCTGAAAAAAAGTGGGGAAAATTACCATTTCTGCAATATAACGTAGACACTTGAAAATTACACTTCATTCCATTTCCATCCTCCTTCAAGCTACCAGTCTTCATACTTTGACACCATTTGTGTTCTTTTTCTCTACATCGAACCGAGTAGAACACGTGCAAAGCACGCGGAAGAGCTTGGAAGTTTTAATTCCCATCATTCTCCTTCTCCTTCTTATTCTCATATAAAAGTTTTCCTGTGGAATTCTTGGGTGAAAAGACTTAGAAAAATGCTGGATGAGCTACTGGTTGTTAGGTATATACCTTCCTTTAATTCAAAGTCTTCAGATATGTTTTTACATACTTTTAGTCCTACATTTTCAAAGAGAAACTTACTATTTTTTATGTATGTTTTTGTGATCAGAATGGTTTTAAAATTATTCTTCTCCGCCTTCTCCAACTTACTATTTTTTATGTATGTTTTTGTGATCAGAATGGTTTTAAAATTATTCTTCTCCGCCTTCTCCTTGTTCTTCTCATTCTTTTCTCTTCAGTGCAATATAATGGTCTTTGTGATTTTTTTTTTCTGCTCAGGATATATTAAGAACACTGTGTTAGTTTCAATAGTTTGTGATACAGTAGTACAAGTTGTTACACCTGCATCCTTTGTTTAATTATAAGACCCAGAGCCAACTGCAATAAATAGAAGGATTTTTTTTTTTCAGACCAAGGAAAATAAAATTTATGTAAATTTTCAGAAGATAAGAGGGTATAATTTCGTAAAGATCTTCACGAATAGGAACCTGTTCCTTTGATATGAATCGCCGAGTTTGATCTCCAATATTCAGCATATTTTTCAATTTCAAGCTGACGTTCATAAGATTTTCGGAGAAATTTTCTTGAGTTAAAATTTCCCTGTAAGCTAAATAACAATTTTTTTTGGTTAAATCATTTTTGATAAATAATATGCTTCTGAATAATGTTTTCAATTGTTTTTCTTGTGCACAGTATGCTTCGGCTTTTGATAGTTTCACAGGGACAAGTTTGTTATCTCAATAAGCTTACAGTTATCAACTGAGATTATTTTTTTTTTTTTTTCAGTAAGTTGTGAACTGAACCACATTGAAGATCAACAACTCAATTTTGGTGGGAAAAAATGCACAATGCAGAGAAGACTATTGTCATAAAACCAGTTCCTTCAAGACCCTTTTCCAGTTACAGGTCCTTCTCAGATCTCGTCGATGGCACGATAAATCGATCTCTAACTGCTGATGATAAAATTCCTGCAATCAAACCAAAGACCGTCAGATTTAGACCCTCTTCAAGCAATTCCCTTCCCTCTCGGGTGAGTTTCACAAATTTTAATTTTTTTTTACGCTAACTCAAAATAAATAAATAATTAAGTAACAGAATATACAATTTGTACTTGGGAACTTCTGATATGTTATTATCATAGCAATTATATTTAGAGTAGATTTCCCAAACCCCTCATGAATTTTGGGTTTTGCACAAAACCTCCCTAAACTTTGCAGATCAGACAAAATCTCCTGAACTTTCGAAATTATATTAAACCCTCCTGAACAATTGGAAAATTTTGTGGTTAGTAAAATTTTCAATTATGTGACCAGTAGTACATATAATACGTGAATTCTCTCATTCAAAACTTTCATTAAAACTTTTATTTTTCATAATTCAAACTCGTTATTATCTGTTAATGCCCTCTATGAGATTTTCAAATAGTTCAGAGTAGTTTAGTATACTTTTTAAAGTTCAGAATGTCTCTCTGATTTACGAATTTTAGGGGAAATTTGTGAAAAATCCCCCAAAATTCAGGTTCTTTTTTAACCCACCTGTAATTTACCACTCAGTAGTAAAATTTGCAGCCTGATGTATCAGAAGCAGCATCCAGATTTACATCTGACAAAGCATCTGCTACGACTTCAGAAGCAGTCAATGAAGCACCATCCATATACAAACCTATGGCAGAGTCTGTGTCCAAAAATTATGATTCTCTCATGGAAAATTACATGGTCAGTATTTTACAGCTGTGCACATTATCCTACTAAACAAGAACTTATGCTGCACATAGTCTGTAGACCTGTAAAGTTCATTAATATGAAAAGGGTTTATTGTGGATATACCCTTTGTAGTAGCTCTGTTTTAAACTTACTACCCCTCTAGTTCTGTTTTTGCATGCTGATAGACCGTCCGGATGAATTCTTTTGACTCTTTTACCCTCAGATGCCTCCAGGAAAAACAGTCAAAAAATTTCACGCAGGGGTCTATCTGCAAACATAAAACTAGAGGGTAGTTTTATATAATCACCTAGTATTTTTTTCTCCCAGGTAAATGATGTGGGTCATCAGAAAACATCGGTAGACGACGAGTTGCAATTACAAGATATCAACCCGGAAAACTACCTTGTTCAGAATCAAATTACCTCAAGCTTTCAGCATAATTCACCATCCCTTGTTGCTACAAGGGAACAGGATAGGCAATCTTGTGATGGATACAACTGGAGAAAATATGGACAAAAACAAGTAAAAGGAAGCGAATATCCACGAAGCTACTATAAATGCACACATCCAAGTTGTCCTATGAAGAAAAAGGTTGAGAGATCCTTTGATGGTAATATTGCTGAAATTGTTTATAAGGGAGAGCATAATCATCCGAAGCCTCAGCCAGCTAAACGTCTTGCAGCGGTATCAGAAGAGCAAAGTTTTGTTAATAATAATAACAATAATATTGGTAACAATTTGCTGGGGAGTTCTCATGATTCTTTTATCGGTACTACGCTCAGTCATTATGATGGTACTCCTGATCTTTCAGGTGTATGTTCAGGTATCGAAAATGATAATGAGAGGCATAAGTCTAAGAAAAGGTACGAGTTCTTATACCAAAATTTGATCGATCACAGAGTTTAATATGACGCAAATCCTATTTTGATAATATTACTTAGAATTACTTTTGAGGTTACTCATTGGACTAACTGTATGCTGATGGTCCAATACTGGTTTCTACTATTTATCATTTTCACACATCTAGGACAGATTTATCGTTAATGTGAATAAGATTATTTTCATGTTTACTCAACGTTTCATGTTGAAGGAAGCATAAGAAGCGAGTTAATGTAGAAGAAGCAGCGTCACAATTTGTCGGAGACCCTGAACCTCTGATGCAAGCTTCCACAGAATCAACTATCACAGGGGACGGTTTTCGCTGGAGAAAATATGGACAAAAAATAGTCAAGGGAAATCCATATCCAAGGTGACTTAATTCGAACTTCCTCCTTCAATCATCTCTCAAAGTTGTTAATTGCACATTAGACCCCCTTGCAGTATCACTGTTTTGAACTTACTGTCCTTGTAGTTTCATAGTTTTAAATAGGCCTGCGGGGTAATTTTTTTTAGCCCGTTTACCATCGCGGGTGAAAGAGTAAAAAAGATTTAACCAGAGGTCTATCCACAACAAGGAAACTACAGGAATTCAGTAAATGTAAAACAAAGATACTACAGGGGTCTAATGTGCAATTAAATTACCCATGAACTCATGGTAATAGTGTTGGTCTGAAAAGGAGCTTGGAGCTTAAAATACGTAACCAAATACATTGAAAAAAAAAATCAGTGAGAATATTTTTTTGTGCGTGACAGGAGTTACTACAGATGCAGCAATCTAAAATGCAATGTTCGAAAGCACATTGAGCGGGTATTGGATGAGCCAACATCATTCATCATAACCTATGAAGGAGAACACAACCATGAAATGCCCGATAGAACGACGAATTCAGCTGCTCAGATAAATATTCTAAGCGCTGAGTAGGGTTATTTTCATGATTCCATTGACAGTTGATTTTTATATTTTCAGCATAATTTTCTAACTCATTTGTACTGTTGGCACCCCAGTTTTTTTTTTATTTTAAAAATTGATCTCTTATAGGAGTTCTATAAAGCTGGTGTACACAAAGTTAAAGGAACTGTCAATCTACGTGAGGAATTTTTAGAGGAACTATATCTTATGGTTGTAATATTTTTGTAGCTACGCGTCAGCTCTATTGACTTCAGTTTCAGCTTTATTTTAACTAATGTAGAATATTGCCAAAGGAATTACATTTTGGAAGAAGTCATAAGCAAATTAATGATGACTATCGATCAGAACCGCAGAAGCATTAAGTTAATAAGATTTTTGAGTAGCTTACAAATGGGAGCATGTCATGGCTGATGTTGCACCAAATGTTCTTTTGAACTTTTGTTAGGTTTTCAGCTTATTTTAAGTCCAAGCCTAAACTTTTTTCTTGAGTGACAATTATGAAGATCAGGTGTTGTTAATAATGCATTAATTTTTTTATCCTTCATAATGTCAAATCAAATGTTTTAATGGAAAGAATTAAGAATACAAATCTTATTAGAACATTCTGCATCTGAGCAGGGTCTTCTATTATTTTAACCAAGACAGTTGAAATTTCTGAACAGTCTCTATGCTTTTGCATTATTGAGGACGTCTTACTGGCATGTCAAGCATTTGATGAAAATTTTGAACTAAAAACTTTACATCATCCAACAAAATCAATGCAAAAACAATTGAAATTGCTTAATAATTAATGTGATATTTTATATTTTCATAGAATCATGGAGTGATGACTGTCTTGAATCTTTTACCAACAAATAATCTAAGCCATTGCCTCCTGTCCTCCAACAACTTCTGTTGGCCCACTTTTGTCTTCAGCCGCATTTATTTTCCTTTTGTTTTTTTTACATAAACCAAAATTCAAGTGCTGGTGAATGCAAGCATGAAGCTTGCCATTTGGTAATCAGTGAATACGAAAAAATATTCTCTAATCATGCTCTGATGATCTTATAGAAGTATTACTATTTTTGGTGTATAAATTATTACAAATTCTTATCATGACTTCAAATGACTCGGAGTTTTGTTGTAGCCGAGCAATTGAAGTTCAAATCCCACAGTTCACATGTTTGATACTGTTTGCGTCGAAAATTGTTGTATTTATTGCGGTATTCATTACAACTTCAGTCGTTACAATGAAAACAAAAAGATAGTCTTTTTATAAGACTTTTACACAATAAAAACAAAAATTACAACTCTCGTCAAAACAAACGCAGGGAGATCGTTTATCGGTCTTCTGCTTGCGTGGGATCTTTGCATGTGCCGAGGTTTATCCGTGGACGACCGTCGATCAGATCCAGTTGTTGAAAATTCGGCAGTGCTCTGCCTTCACCGAGGAAGTATTTGATTTGAAGCGCTGAGATCGACCAAGCGAAATCAGTAGCTCTTCTTGAGATCAAGACCAAGCCTGATCTTAAAGAAATAGGGGAAATCTCAAGGAAATAGGGGAAACGGGCGTCAGATCTCTTGAACTCTCCTTCTTTATGCCGAAGAATTCGCCAAGATCTGTCAACCCTCGCTGAAATTCGTGCTCCTTTGACTCCTCAATCCGGCAGCACCTCCTCCTCTTGATAATTAACCCCCCTTTGAAATGAGCCCCTGAGCCTGTATTTATAGGCTTCAGTTAGGGGGTTTTGTTACATCCGACCAGCGTTTGCGCGGGTCGGTCTGTTCCGTCCCGCGCTAGCGTGGGCGCGGGTCGGTCTGTTCCGTCCCGTGCTAGCGCGGGTCCGTCGCTTTTGCTGAACTTGTACGTTTCTTGACTTTTCCGGGACTTGTAGTTTCTCCCGTTTTGCGTAATTGATCATCTTGTTGACTTGTATGCTTCGTTGCGGGACTGACCGTCGAACGCGCGTTGGTTGACATGCGCGCGTTGGTTGACGTGCGCGTGTTGATTGATGCGCGCGTGTTGACCGACGCGCGCGAGCTGATTGACGCGCACGAGCCACTTGGTTCGTCGTTTCGCTTCATGCGCTTGTCGACGACAGATAATCCTCTTAGACTCGGATAACGACGTTCGTTGTCTTCTCTCTGTCTTGAACTGTATTCGGAGACTTATAGGCAATTTTTGATGCCTACAGATACTGATTTTTTTAAAGAAAAAGTTAAGTTGAGAAATTAACTATTGGATTTTCGATGATATAACGACAAATTTGCTAATATGAAGAATTAAACAGTAACTTTAGAAATACTATAAGTTTGAAGGGTATATAGATAACAAATCCTAAATGTTCTTTTGCAAACTAGACAAGGCTCACATTTTCAGTTCGCCAACAACATCCTAGAATTTAGTAATCCTTTTCTGTTATAGGTTGCCTCAAATACTTAAATTCATATTGTTTTGGGAGGTTCTTTTCAGATTGGTTTGTTTTGATTAAGAATCCTACTTACATTAGACTTTGCATAACCAATTATATTAGAGGTTTATTTCTACTTGGACTCTTATTGGGTTTTAGAACATATGGACTTCTTTTCCTATTAGAACGTCATGCCTTAGACAGCAAGGGGTTGAGATCTTCAAGGCTATAGAAGAACAACCTTTCAAGCCAATTAGATTCATGAATTTTCGGAGCACAAATTAAGAAGAGAGAATTCTTTTGTGAAGCCTATTTGATATTCTTCTCTTTTGTTCCTTTAGTTGAGAGTTGAATTAGGCTTTTGGGGTGTTATTTAGGATTAAGAGATTGAGAGATTCCACTTTGTATTCCTCACAATTTAGTAAAGTTTTCTCCTCATTCGTCCGTGGACGTAGGCTACAAGCCGAACCACGTATATCTTTGTGCTCGTGTGTTCTTGATATTTTTCGTGCTCTCGTGTGATTGATACTAGCTTATCCTGGGGAGTTTGTCATAACAAATTGGTATCAGAGCCCTCAGCTATCGATCAGACGAGAAAATAATGATAACTACTACGAAGTAGGATATCGAGAAGTTTGACGGCAACATCAGTTTCAACCTTTGACAAGTTAGGATGATCACTGTGTTGACACGAAGTGGATTGAAGAAGGCTTTGTTCGGGAAGTCGAAGAAACCGACTACTATGATGAAGGAAGATTGGAACGAGTTGGATGATAGAGCTCTCACAGCGATCCAGTTATATTTGACAAACGAAGTTTTGCAATAAGTTCTCACAGAGAAAACAACCGCTGATTTGTGGTCTAAATTGGAGGATTTGTATTTGATAAAGTCGCTCACAAATCGTCTCCTCTTGAAACAACGTTTGTACACACTTCGGATGTCGGAAGGAACACCCATCAAATCCCATATTGGTGAATTTAATTCTGTGATTACAGATTTGAATAAGATTGATGTTAAGATCAATAATGAAGATCAAACCCTATTGTTATTATGTTCTTTGCCACTTTCCTACAAGCACTTCAGGGATACTATGATCTATGCTCGAGATTCTATTGGCATCAAGGACGTCAAAAAGAGCTTATTGAATAAGGAGAAAATCGACAAAGAGTTAACCACAAGTGAAAGTGGCGATAAAGCTTATGGCTTTTTTGTTCGAGGAAGATCGGAAGAAGAGGCTTTGGAGGTAACAAGTATAAGTCGAAGCACAAGAATATGACCTGCAGATATTATAAGAAGAAAGGGCACATCAAGACCGATTGTTACAAATTGATGAATAAGAATAAACAAGAAGAGTATGAATAATCAAAGGAGCACTCCGCTGAAGTTGATATTGCTGAAGATGTGATATTGTTGGCTACAGATGATATAAACATGAGCATGGAAGATTGGATTTTGGATTTGGGTTGTTCCTATCATATGTGTCCTAATCGGGACTGGTTCACCACTTATGAAGCTATTGATGGTGAAGTTGTTCTTATGGAGAATAGCGCCACATGCAAGACTGTTGGGAAAGGCACAATTTAGATTAAGATGCATGATGGAGTTATCAGGACTTTGAAAGATGTTAGGCATGTTTCAGGTTTAAGGAAGAATCTCATCTCTTGGGGCACTCTTGATAGCATTGGGTGCAATTTTTCAGGTGAAGGTAGAGTTCTTAGGGTTACAAAAGGCTCTCTTGTGGTTATGAAAGGAAAGAAGATCGACAGCTTGTATGTTTTGTAAGGTTCTACCATTACCGACTCGGTTGCAGTTGCATCGTCGATGTCAGGAGTTGATACTACCAGATTATAACATATGAGACTTGATCATATAAGTGAACGCGGATTGACCACGTTGAGTAAGAAAGGTCTTTTATGTGGACAAAGTACAAGAAAATTAGGATTCTGCGAGCATTGCATCTTTGAGAAGCAGAAAAGAGTCAACTTCGGTACGACAGTGCATCAGACTAAAAGTACTTTAGATTATATCCATTCAGATCTTTGGGGACCGTCTCAAGTTGCCTCAAGAGGTGGTAGTTCTAGATATTTGTTAACCTTCATTGATGACTACTCTATGAAGGTTTGGGTCTACATTTTGAGATATAAAAATAAGGTGTTTGTGACTTTTAAGCAGTGGAAGTCTTTGATTGAGAAGCAGTCTGGGAGGCTGATTAAGAGGCTTAGAACTGATAACGGCCTTGAGTTTTGTGGAGGAGAATTTAATAAGTTTTGCAAGAAGGAAGAAATCGTTAGACATCGTACAGTCCCTCGCACACCGCAACCGAATGGAGTGACATAACGTATGAACAGAACCATATTAGAGAAAGCTCATTGTATGATGTTCAATGCAAGTTTACGTAAGGAATACTGGGACGAAGTAGTGAATACGACTTGTTACTTCGGTCGTCATCTACTGCTATGAGTTGCAAAACTCCAGAGGAGGTTTGATCCGGTAAGCCTGCAGATTATTCTAATATTAGAATATTTGGTTGCCCTACATATGCGCATGTTAGTCAAGGAAAACTTGAGCCGCGAGCGAAGAAGTGCATATTCCTAGGTTATGTATCAGGTGTTAAGGGTTTTAGGTTGTGGTGTCCTGATCCGAAGTCTCCTAAGATTATTATTAGTCGTGATGTTACTTTTGATGAATCTGCTATGTTCCACCAGAAACGATCATCGATTTCAATTATTGATAAGGCGTGCACTACAAGACATAAGGTGGAGTTAAAATTCGTGATTCAACTCTTCAGTAGGATAAGACTATGGGAGTTCAGCAGCTAGATCTCATTCAAGTAGATGAAGCACCTCAACAGCTACAGGAAGAGCAAGAATACACTATTGCTAGAGATCAGTCTAGACGAGATATCCGACCAATGTGAAGATATAATGATACGGTAGCTTATGCATTGTCGGTTGATAAATTTATGCCCTTCAGCTATTTAGGAGCTATTTTAGGTGATGACTTTGCTAATATTTATGGTCGTCGTGCCGACAATTTAGTCGATTTGTTGATGAGGCCTCTTTAAGTTAGCAAGTTCAAGCCGGGCTTGGACTTGATCGATACGTGCCACACTTAGATGCCCTACGGGGCTATTGGAGAAGGTGGAGTAAGTTAGCTTATTTTGGAGTGAGGAATCTTCTACGTATTTGAGTCAATGTGGAGATTTGTCATAGATTGCCTCAAATACTCAAATCCATATTGCTTTGAGAGTTCCTTTTCAGCTTGGCTTGTTTTGATCAAGAATCCTACTTACAGTAGACTTTGCACAACCAATTATATTCAAGGTTTATTTCTACTTGGACTCTTGTTGGGTTTTAGGACATGTGAACTTTTATTCCTATTAGAACTCTTATTCCTTAGACATCAAGGGGTTGAGATCTTCAAGGCTATATAAGAACAGTTTTTCAAGCCAATTAGATTCATCAATTTTTAGAGCATCAATCAAGAAGAGAGAGTTTTTTTTTGTGAAGCCTATTTGATATTCTTCTCTTTTGTTCCTTTAGTTGAGAGTTGCATTAGGCTTTTGGGGTGTTATTTAGGATTGAGACATTGAGAGATTCCACTTTGTATTCCTCACAATTTGGTAAAGTTTTCTCCTTCGCCCGTGGACGTAGGCTACAAGCCAAACCACGTATATATTTATGTTCGTGTATTCTTGATACTTTTTGTGCTATCGTGTGATTGATATTAGCTTATTCTGAGGAGTTTGTCATAACATTTTCAAACACGTCTCTATAAAAGTCATTGTTGAGATATTGTTATTATTTTTAAATAGAAAATAAAGAGATAATAAATAGTTTGTTGTAGCCGAGAATCATACTCCCTTTAAAAGCACGAGTTAGGAAAAATCTTTTTTAGACAAATATACCCCTATAAAGTTTGAACTATCCTATCTATAATCAAATTCTAATTTTTAATTGGATAAAATTTATACTGACTTCTGTTGCATTATATAAAACCCCGATTAAACTTAATACACAATATCATATTCTTATCTATAGACTACCCATTAAACTTCATATACAATATCCCCGAGGATCTCAATGTTGGCTTGACACTTAAACTTTATACACAATATCACATTCTTATCTGTAGACTCCCTGTTAAACTTTATTGATTAACTATTCTCATCTGTAGACTTAAACTTTATACACAATATTTTTGTAAATCTTTCTATAAACAAAAATACCCCTATAAAGTTTGAACTATCCTATCTATAATCAAATTCTAATTTTTAATACTAACTATGCTAACTATGCTTACCTATAGACTCCAGCAAACTTTACACTAACTATGCTTTTGCGAAAAAGATTCGTGGACTCCAACAAACTTTATACTAACTATGCTTTGTCATATAGAGTTCCGATTGATATTCTTATCTGTAGACTCCAACAAACTTTATACTGATATAGTCTAATTAACATTGGATAGATATATATGGTTAAATGATAACAAATCCCCAATTGGAAATTGTGTCTAGGTGAATCATTAAAAGGTGTATGAAGGTATTTTCGGTTTAGTTTGTTGTTGGCCAGCACCACCCTCTTCTTCTCCCCGATTGATTGTAACACAATTAAAATCCTAATAAAACTCTAATTATAACTATTATTCTATCACATGCAATACCTCATGCATATATATAAACCAAGAAATTACACAATTTTTATAGTAACTTCATCTCCTTCAACATGTATGTTTCTTTTTTATTTTCATGATTATTCTTTAGAAATATTATGTATCTGATTTAATGGTGATACTTGTTTTACACTGCAATTACTTTTTATGGAAATTGATATTTTTTAAAATTTCTTCAATTTTCATGCAGAATTTAAAGAATTAAGGATTTGATTGTTGGAGGTTCTCCCATCTATCAAGGTAACTTTTCATGTTTGATATTATTATAATTTAGATTTATTTGATTATATATTTATAAGCCTAATCAAGTGAATGGAATAATCAAGGAATTAACTTCTTTCATGGTATCAGAGCCCTAGGGCACGATTCTCTCCTCTCCTTCCTCTTCCGCGGTGCCCTAGGTCATCTCCATCTCCATCTCAGAATTCTCATTCATGTCTTCCTCCATGGCTGACTCTAAAAACTCCTTTCACCCGGCCCTTGCTGTGTCAAACATCAAGAACCATATCTCTATTACTCTTGAGATGGAAAACGTCCAGTATTCGACATGGGCGGAACTTTTCAAAATCACCGCTCGTTCTCACCGTGTAATCCACCATATCATCACGCCGGAGAAAGGGACCGTTAAGGCTCCGGAGACTGATGCTGAGAAGGAGTTGTGGTCAACTCTTGATGCTACAGTTCTCTCTTGGATATATGCTACAATATCCAATGATCTTTTGCACACCATTATTGAACCCGATGCGACGGCAATGGAGGCATGGAACCGTCTACGTAACATCTTCCAGGATAACAAAAACTCAAGGGCGGTGGCTCTTGAGCAGGAGTTCTCAACCACAAAAATGGAGGATTTCCCGAATGCCTCTGCGTATTGTCAGCGCCTCAAGGTATTAGCCGATCAATTGAAGAATGTTGGGGCTCCTGTATCAAACAACCGTCTCGTCCTTCAAATGGTTGCAGGTCTCACTGAAGCATACAAGAATATTGGTACGTTACTTCGTCAAAGTAATCCTCTTCCCCCTTTTTATGAAGCACGTTCTAGTCTCTGTCTCGAAGAAAAGGGATTAGCAAATTCGATCTCCACCGCCTCTGCCATGGTTGCTGCTAGGGAAGTAGATGATGCTTCCGATAATTATTCCCATCATAATAATCATAATCGTAATAATGGTGGAAAGAAAGGGAATAATAAAAACTACGGCAACAAAAACCGCGGAGGTGGCCGCGGTGGTGGTGGCGGCAAAGGTGGAAGCAACCGCTCAGGGGGTGGCGGCGGTGGTGGACAGCAGCACTCCGGCCAGCAGGTCCCGCAGTGGTTCCAGGCAGTTGGGCAGCAACAACCTTGGTCTTGGCCGTTCATGCCTTGGGCTATTCCTCCATGTCCCTATCCTACTTCTTCTTGGGCCAGGCCCAATGCACCAAGGCATGCTGGAATTTTAGGATCACGCCCACAACAGCAGCAAGTTTACTCTGCAGCAGTTCAACCAACGCCCACGGATATCGAGGCAGCAATGCACACCCTCGGTCTCACTCCTCCGGATCCGAATTGGTACATGGACACCGGTGCCACTTCCCACATGACTTCCGGGCAAGGTAATCTCACGTCTTACTTTAATTTGAGCAAAAATCGTGGTATAATTGTTGGTAATGGTCATACAATTCCAATTCATGGTTATGGTCACACGAACTTGTCTCCCCCGAACCCTCCCCTATCCTTGAAAAATGTTCTTCATGCTCCTCAAATTATTAAAAACTTAGTTTCAGTGCGGAAATTTACAACTGATAACTCGGTTTCTGTTGAATTTGATCCTTTTGGGTTTTCTGTGAAGGACTTTCAGACGGGGATGCTTCGAATGAGATGTGAGAGCCGGGGTGAGCTTTATCCCATCACCACCACCTCAAATCAAGCCACTTCCCCATCTACTTTTGCGGCTTTATCACCATCATTATGGCATGAACGTTTGGGTCACCCGGGAGCACCTGTTTTTAACTCCCTTAGGCTAAATAAATTTATTGAGTGCAATCAAACTCGTAATTCCCATGTTTGTCACTCTTGTCCTCTTGGAAAACTTGTTAAGTTGCCGTTTGTTTCTTCAAATTCATGCACTATTATGCCATTTGATATTATCCATAGTGATCTTTGGACATCTCCTGTTTTGAGCTCTTCGGGCCACAAATATTATATGTTATTGGTGGATGATTTCTCTAATTATTTGTGGACATTTCCTTTGTCGAAAAAATCACAAGTTTTTTCCACTTTTCTAGCCTATAGAGCTTTCATCCGTACCCAATTTGAACGGGAAATAAAGAACATTCAATGTGATAATGGTAGAGAATTTGATAATGGGCCTTTTTGGGAGTTTTGCAAGGTTAATGGTTTATCTTTTCGCTTATCTTGTCCTCATACTTCGTCACAAAATGGAAAAGCCGAAAGAAAAATCCGAACCATTAACAACATCACTCGTACTTTATTAGCTCATGCATCTTTACCTCCTTCGTTTTGGCATCATGCATTGCAAATGGCAACATACCTTCTCAACATTCTTCCAAGTAAACAATTAGCCTATCAATCCCCCCTCCAACTTCTATATCGAAAAGACCCTTCGTATTCACATTTACGAGTTTTTGGTTGTTTATGCTATCCCTTAATTCCTTCCACTACCATAAACAAACTTCAACCTCGTTCCACTCCTTGTGTCTTTTTGGGTTATCCATCTAATCATCGTGGTTACAAATGTTATGATTTATCCTCTCAAAAAATCATCATATGTCGCCATGTATTTTTTGACGAAGCCCAATTCCCGTTTGCTAAAATCCACACTCCACAATCTCATACCTATGATTTCTTGGATGATGGGTTGTCTCCATATGTCATTCACCATTGGGCTTCTCAATATGGCCCAAACACTAAGCCCCTTGCTGCCCCTAATCAGCTCAGTCAGCTCCCCCTTGCTCCTGAGCCCAATTCACCAGGCCCATCATCCCCCTTGCTTGACCAACCTGGCAGCTCTACTGGGCAGCCCACTTCGCCAGGCCCAGCGAGTGGCAGCAGTCCACCGCCAGCTCTTTCCTCTCAGGCCAGTCCTATTCCAGCTCAAAGACCGATTACCCGCAGCCAACGAGGGATCTTTAAACCCAAGAAACAATTTAATCTCAACATAACTGTGAGTAAATCCCCGTTGCCTCGTAACCCCGTGTCGGCCCTTCGTGACCCGAATTGGAAAATGGCTATGAATGATGAATTTAATGCTCTTATTAAAAATAAGACGTGGGAGTTGGTGCCCCGTCCACTTGATGTTAATGTGATTCGTTCAATGTGGATTTTTAGTCATAAAGAAAAATCTGATGGCACTTTTGAGCGGCATAAAGCCCGTCTTGTAGGTGATGGAAAAACTCAACAGGTGGGTGTAGATTGTGGTGACACCTTTAGCCCGGTGGTCAAACCGGCGACGATTCGCACTGTTCTCAGTTTGGCCCTCTCAAAAGCATGGCCCATTCACCAACTTGATGTGAAAAATGCTTTCTTACATGGAGAACTCAAAGAAACTGTGTATATGCATCAACCCGTTGGATATCGGGATCCAGATCGTCCTAATCATGTATGCTTGTTGAAGAAATCTTTGTACGGGCTCAAACAAGCCCCTCGGGCTTGGTACAAGAGATTTACTGACTATGTTTCTTCTCTTGGGTTTTCTCACAGTACTTCTGATCATTCACTCTTCATTTACCGTAAAGGTAATGCTACAGCATACATTCTTCTATATGTGGATGATATTATTTTGACAGCTTCCTCTGAGACTCTTCGCAAGTCTATCATATCTCTTCTTAGCTCAGAATTTGCTATGAAAGACTTAGGGCCATTGAGTTATTTCTTGGGCATCGCTGTAACTCGTCATGCAGGTGGTCTATTCTTATCTCAGAGGAAATATGCAGCAGAGATCATTGATCGGGCCGGCATGTCATCCTGTAAGCCTTCGCCTACTCCGGTTGACACCAAACCGAAGCTCAGTGCTAGTTCTAGCACACCATATGAGGATCCCTCTCATTATCGGAGCCTTGCAGGGGCTCTTCAGTATCTCACATTCACGAGACCCGATATTACTTATGCTGTGCAACAGGTGTGTTTATTCATGCATGACCCGAGGGAGGAACACATGCACGCTCTCAAGCGCATTGTGCGCTACATTCAGGGTACTCTTGATCATGGCTTACATCTATATCCATCTTCTACATCTACTCTCATTTCCTATACTGATGCGGATTGGGGTGGATGTCCGGATACCAGACGATCGACGTCTGGTTATTGTGTGTTTCTTGGTGATAACTTGATCTCTTGGTCCGCCAAACGGCAAGCTACCTTGTCACGTTCGAGTGCGGAAGCGGAATACCGGGGGGTTGCCAATGTGGTTAGCGAGTCTTGTTGGTTACGAAATCTTCTTTTGGAGCTTCATTGTCCTATTCGGAAAGCTACATTGGTGTATTGTGATAATGTTAGTGCGATATATTTATCTGGTAACCCTGTTCAGCATCAACGCACTAAACATATCGAGATGGATATTCACTTTGTCCGCGAAAAGGTTGCTCGGGGCGAAGTTCGTGTCTTACATGTTCCGTCTCGTTATCAGATTGCCGATATCTTTACGAAGGGCCTTCCTTTGGTCCTATTTGAAGATTTTCGGGACAGTCTCAGCGTACGACTACCTCCCGCTTCGACTGCGGGGGTGTGTTAGAATATATGTTAATATATTTTGTATTAGGCAATTATATTAGTAATCTTGTATATTTGTTAGGAGTATATTTAGTCCCCATAATTGTAGCCTAAGATTACGTAATTGTAGCCTAAGATTAGTCTTGTACTATGTGTATATAAGCCTAATCAAGTGAATGGAATAATCAAGGAATTAACTTCTTTCAATATTTAATTTGGTTAAACATATACATTGCAATCTTCAATGACAGATATTTTCCAACATATACATTGCAATTTTTATATACATGATCAAGATGATAAAATAAGTAGCTGCCAGATTACCACCTCATCCAATATTGGCCTATGTGATTTATTTACATGTAATATCAATGACCAAACTATTCAAATGATAGAGAAGATATATGCTTCATAAAATTTTAAAAAATCTATTAGAAAGACACACTTAACTGATGCATACACTATATGATAGAAAGGGCAAAATGCAAGCATTCTTTACTATCAAAATTCATGTGGCGAAGAACGTAATAAGGAAACATGTAAATAGAATCTGGCCACCATAAGCTTTCTCCCAGCTATAAGCTCCAAAAGTACGACACCAAAAGAATACACATCAGACCTCTCGGTCAACTTGACACTTGATGCATACTCTGGAGCCAAATATTTGTGTATAATTATTGTCAGCTGTTCGAATTCAGAATTAAAAAAATTATGCAGATAATATAACAAAACCACCAAGCATCTCAATGAAGTATCCATCAAATATTAGGAAGTTTCTAATGTTCCCTTGTTCACATACCCAAAAGTCCCCATTACTCGTGTTGTGACATGTGTTGCAGCGTCCATAGCTCACCGTGCAAGCCCAAAACCTACTACCTGACCCGTAGATATTAGTTTCAAGGTTAACAAGGAAGACATAAGTAAAGAATCAACAACACTTTCAGTTAGTATATCATCAAGCTGATGAACTCCAGCTGAAAGCTCCAGCCTCTCCTGATTAGCCAGGCTCATCAACAACATATTCGACTCTGTCTTCATCAAGAGAGCCTTCTTAGGGGTCGAGCACCCGTAATTCCCACAACCAATAATCATACCCCCTTTAAAAGTACGAGTTCAGGAAAATCTTTCTTTGGCCAATATTACCCTTAGGTTTTTTCTGAATATTACATTATTATCCTAATCTATTCTAATTATCTTATCTTCTTTGAATCAGTAACAAAATGATTTATTCTATTCATAATGAGACTTAACATGTTATTGGCTAAAATAGATATGTTTCATATAATTCAAATCCTTTACTTATTTTAGTTCGTAGATAAATCTAAAAAACATATACTAGCCAGCATCTAAAAATTTTTGGACTTTGTAAAAAATATTCTCCAAGTTTTTTAAATTACAAAAACACCCCTACAAATTCAAATTTTTATTAAAGCATCTTAAAAATTATGAATTTTACTTATCTCAATTTAGTGAGAAATATGAAAAATATATGCTAATAAGAAACTAAAAGTTTTTTGACTTTGTAGAAAATATCTTGTAAGTTTTAAAAATTACAAAAACACCCCTAAAAATTTAAAATTTATAAAAAACACCTTGAAAATGTCAAACTTATAAACGTACTAAAAACCTACAAATAACACAAACAACCCCCAAAAAATTATGGAATTTATAATACACACTTTGAACTATCTACAAATTGCAAAATAAAACCCTCAAAATTATAAAATTTATAAAAATCCTAATAATTTCTGACCTAATGGTACATTAAAAATATAAAAATTATAAATATCCCCTACATAATTTATAATTTATTAAAAACATCCTTAAAGTTTTAAAAATTACGAACACTCCTTTAAAATTTAAAATTTATAAAAAACACCCTCAAAATTTCAAATTCATTAGTAAATTGAAAGCATAGGAAGTATTAATAGTCTATAAATAATTTACAATCTGTAAAAAAGGCCTATAAGTTTAAAAAATTACAAAAAATCCTTAAAATTCATAATTTACAAAAAAAACTCCATGAGAATTTCTAACCTATAGACACTAAAATGAATATGCAAAATTACTAACCCCTAGAAAATTAAAATTTTGTAAAAAAATATCATACACTTTTTAAAAGTATAGCTTTAGGAAAAACTTTTCATGATAAATATTACCCATAACTTTTTTGAAAAGAACATAACTAATTAAAAATCTATTAAATTTTAAATATATAAAAAATACCCTTAAAGTTTAGTATATTGCAAATTACCCCTCCAAAGTTTGAAAATTTATAATGATTTTTTTTGTAATTCCTTAATTTCATTGTAATATTTAGTAGTTTTGTGTATTTGTAAATTACAAAATTTAGAGTGTATTTCACACTTTTTAAAACTTTTGAGGGTGTTTATTTTATAGTTTTCTAAAATTTCATTGTGTTTTCAGTGTAATGCACATATACATCAATTAATGATGATATTAAAGAATAAGTCGTTTTTAAGATTATTAGACCATAGTTAAGTGTGCACATCACTATTCCTAGATAGTATAGTTTATATATGCAAAAAAATTTAGACAATCTATATAGTGGTTAAAAATATTTTGACTTAAATGTACTATTTTTACAAATTATATTTAATGTGAACCAACCATATAATTTTAATTATGGTCATTATAATTTTAATACGTTTGATTGATTGACTATATACATATATAGACCATATATTACTTTATTTTCTCACATGAGCTAACATTTGGTGCTTAATAATTTAAATTATTACTTTTAAATTTAATATAAAGATGAGCTCTAATAACATTTATTTATTTACCTACAGCATAATACAATCTCAATTCCTATTTTTTACTAGAGATTTATTCCATAGTTATGCGTATCGAATTAGTAACTAAAATAATAATTATTTATGCTTAAATTAGGATGATTGTAGTTGGTCACTCACTATAAAATTTTTATGAAGATATATACCTTACTTTCTATAGCTATCTGCACTGCCCATGTATATTTTATAAATTAGTTCTTAATTTGACATATTAAATTACTTTTCACTTGTAGAAATTTCTTCTTTGACTTTTTGACTGTGTAATCACTATATCACCATTGTAGCATAGAAAAGACCTCACTCTAAATGGCTTCAAGTCAATGTTTGAGTTGCACTTGAAGTATGTACTACTGTTACTATGTGTATATATTTTTTAAGAAAATCATGTCAACACTTTTTAAATATAAGAGAATATTCTAACCTTTGATATTATAAAAATTAAATATAGCTAATTGAATAATTAGCAAAAGAGAACTTACATCAGAAAAGTGTGAATAATAAGATAAAAAGGAAAGGTAATGGCATTACCAACAATACTATAAATAGCAAACTATAATGTAAAATTAACTTATTTTGTGGAGCCCAACTGCTGGCTATAAGCATTGAGATTTTCATATATATACTTTATAATTTATTAAAAAGGGTCATATAATCTTATATAATAAAATTAATTTAATAAAGAATAGCATCCAGACCTTGGTTGAAGCCGGCGTTATAACGCTAGGGTAAGCCAATTGAAAACGGCTTGACTCCGACGAGTATACGAGTATAAACTGCTCCTCATCACTCCGATAAGTATAAGAGTATAAACTGCTTCTTGAAACTCCGAAGAGTATATGAGTATAAACTGCTTCGGTCATATAATCTTATATAATAAAATTAATTTAATATTAAATAGTAATATCATTATTAGAAAAAAAAATCATGGATCGATATGCTCTTTACGATATATAAGCTATGCACTCTAAATTCTTGTGTCTTTTTATAGAGCCAAAAAGTTTGAATACGAGTCTCTAACATGTTGCTCTCAAAATGACAAAATCTACTTAGGAGGTATGGATATTCTAGATAAGTTATGTATCTTATATATAATACAATTGTCCTACGCAAGTGAGTTATAATAGCATTTTTCATTCACATCGTTTGTGGTAAGATTTGATAGGGACCTTGCATTAAAAAAGAAATTTTTATATTTAGAGCATATGATGAAATATATCATAATCTCCTTGTTCTAATTTCGTAAGAAAATAATTCTTCATACTTTCAGATTTACTTCTATGATACAAAAAATGAGTTATAAAATTGAATGAGAATATTAGATAATATAAATATGAGCGAAACATCAACTAAAAGTTAACATGAATATGAGTCAAACCACAACTAAAAGTTTAATTGACATATTGCAAGTAAGTTAATATGCAAAATTCTTTTGCGAATTGAATGATCACTCATCTTTTGAAGTCTTCAAGATACTAATAAATAGAGATGTTGTACTAAATTAATGTGTTTATAACTCATAAATAGTAGATCATGTAGTCACAGTCTAGGTTGAATGAAACAATGATAATATTTCATTTGAGAGAGAGATTATTGTGTTGATGATCAATCCCACAAAAAACTTTGTTTTTCTTATTTTACTCTATTTTTATCAATTTAAATAATCATGATATTCAACCGCGTGCATTGCACGTGCATCTCAACTAGTATTAATAAACTTGGGAGTAGGAGATTGTTGCGTATAGCACTGTTGTGTTGGCTATATAAACTTCGATGGTTGTTGCATTAGTTGGCTTATAAGGATTCCAAGTGTCACTTTAACTAGCTTAACTTTAAGATTGTTAACTAACATAATCATTCATTTATTACGTAACTAATAATTCAGTTCCTTATGATTGTTGTCTTAGTTTTTTTTTATTTTAATAGAATCCTTAAGCAAGTGAAGGGCCAGTGTCCACTAGAGATCAGTTTCAAGCAATTTCATAGTTATGTGAACGAGAAATGAGATCATTTGATAGCTTTTATAGATTTAACGAAAGAGAAGAGTTGAAATGTTATAAAAATAACATGCGAGTGTTATATGAAAATTTTAGGGAGAAAATTCTCACCTTTACATAACGAATGATAAAAAAACTTAAATGTTATTTAGGTGAGGTCATTTACAACTGAGGATTTTTATGTGCAACAGTGAGCAAAACATAGGTTAAGTGTAACTTACCATTTCCCCCCTAACTTCACAATGCCACTCTAAAAAGATTTCCCCCTAACTTCACAATTCAACTATAAAAGGGTTAATAATTTTAGTATTTTCACATTCTTTCTTAAAATCATTTATTATTGTCCATAATTGGATCATAAATAGGATTGCAAAGCCAAACCCTGACCTTAGTTGCGTAGTTTTATTTTAGGACAAATTTTTAAAACCAACCGTTTTTTAAAATTAATAGGCAAAATCGACCGTGTTAAAAATTAATAGGCAAAATCGACCTGCACGGGACTACTAGTCCCGTGCAGTCCCTATCTCCCTCCTCCCCAACTGCCCATCTCTCTCTCTCTCCTCAATCACCTGCCCCCTTCTCCTCACTCACCCCCTTCCTTCTTCACCTCTACCACCAAAACCTCCGACATCACCAACTCCACCGACCACATCTTCGCCGCCGAGTTCGACACCGTCCAGGACTTCGAATTCCTCCTCTCCACCACGCCATCCTCCTCCTAATCCACCGCCACCCCTCCTCAGACCAGCCCTCCGCTAGCCTCCTCCTCCGCCCTGCACTCTAGCCCGCACCACCGTCACCATGAGCCGCCCTCCCTTCCTCCCCGAGCTCCAGCCCAACCGCCTCCACCCCATCCTCAGATCTGCCTCCCCTGAGCCGCTCCTCTCCTCTTCCTCCCCGAGCTCGGATGATTGTTGGGCGCTTGGGTTTTCTTGGCTGCTTGATTTTGAGGTGATTTTGATGGAAAGAGAGATTTTGGTGGGGAAATTGGAGGAGAGGAAGGGGAGAGGGTTTGAAGGGAGGAGGGATGAGGAGAGGAGAGAAGCGGGAGGCATTTAGGGTGGGGGTCTCACTTCCGACCAAGAAAGCCTGATCACCAGCATCGTTTTCGTCGGGATGCTGGTGGGCGCCTCCTCCTGGGGCGTTGTTTCTGATAACTATGGGAGAAGGGGGCAGGTGATTGAGGAGAGGGAGATAGGGACTGCACGGGACTAGTAGTCCCGTGCAGGTCGATTTTGACTATTAATTTTTAACACGGTCGATTTTGCCTATTAATTTTAAAAAAGGGTTGGTTTTAAAAATTTGTCCTTTATTTTACAATCTTAATGAATTATATTAAATAAACAAATTAAATTTGATAAAAATAATTGAAGAAATATTAACACTATACGCTGAGTCAACACTGAGAGTACCACAGAATTGAGAGAAACCGAAAACAGTGGAAAAAAGGAAAGAAAATAGGAAAAGTGAAATTTCAAAATTTTTTCTAAAAAAGTGGAGAGTTAAATGAATAGTTTGACAAGTAGATTTCAAGGTTTCAACTAACCTAACCACCTCAACTATCTTTGAAGACCAGGTCAAAAATGGTAACAGCAACTTTTTTTTTTGCTCTTCTCACAAAAATATTCTTGCAATAATTATAGTCCCAAAAAGACCAAGACCATAACTAAATTAAAAAAAGTACAAAAAATAACTATTTTTATTATGAGCAAAATCTCTCAGGTTCAAAGTCAGTGCACCATATATCTTAATAATTAATTATTAATTAATTAGTTCTCAACAAAACACTGACCCAGTTTTCTCTCTCATTTTTTTATCCTTCATTCTCTCTCTCTCTCTCTCTCTCTCTCTCTCTCTGTGAAACAACAATGGCTTGTTGTCCATGCGCTGCAAAATCAATCAAAAAAACTAAACAAAAGGAGGATCAGATCAAAGCTAGCTCTGGTATTGGAATCCTTCACAAATCTCTCAACTTTTATATTTGCATTTGGGTTTTCTTAGAATCAGCAGAATCTTTGATCCTAATGATTTGTTTCTCATAGAGCTCTTTTGGGTTTCTATTCTTGTGTTTGGTATTCAGGATTTGAGGTTAAAGGTAGGATCTTGCCAACCCAGGTGCTTGATCTCGATATTGTTTGATCAAAATCATTTTGTGGGTTTTTAGTCAAAGATTGGCCATTTATATGGTAATTGAGGCTTTTTGTGATTTGGGTTTTCTTTGGTTAGATTCAAGAATTGGTAATAATCCTCGGACGAAAATTTGCAGGAAATGACATTAAGCTTCTTGTTTTGTTTTGTAATTAGATGATATATTTGGGTTATTTTCTTTGTTAATCTGATGGAAAATTCCATAAGATAGGTATGAGAATTCCTGCTTTAGGAGAAAAAGAGAAGGTATTGAAGAAAATCAATATCGATGGGCGAATTAACTAAAGATTTGAAAAGCTTGTAATATGTTGAAAATTGTCTTTGAACAGGAACACTGGCTGATTTGTCTCTGTTGGTCTTGGTTTGCGAGATTGCTACCAGTATTACCTATACCAGCTGCTCATTCATATTTCATCTAGTCACTGCTTGCTTTAAGAATTTGTTGAAACCTAATTTTTTTTTTGTTTGATTAATTTGTAATTCGTAGACCAGTAATAGTGTAGTTACCATAAAATTAAGCCATGTGGAATTACATGCAAATTCTCTAATCATGAATAAAGCCCCTTTCTTTTACTATACACCTAGAAAAGGTTCTGATATCAAAGTCTATGGATTTATTGTAGCAGAGAAACCAAATTTGGAGCAAACATTAGATGTTAAAAAGAAGGCGATATTGAGTGGTGAATCTGAAAAACCTACTGCTCAGACATTTTCATTTCGGGAACTGGCCGCTGCGACAAAGAACTTTAGAGCTGATTGTCTATTGGGTGAGGGAGGATTTGGTCGAGTTTATAGAGGATGGTTGGAGAGTATTAACCAGGTTTGTCATTTATTTCTTATTACCCTTTCTAAATTTGTCCTTGAAATTTGACGTTTAATTGTTTTTTATGTTGATAGGTTGTGGCGATAAAGCAGCTAGATCTTAATGGTTTCCAAGGAAACAGAGAGTTTCTTGTTGAAGTTCTGATGTTAAGTCTACTTCACCATCCTAACCTTGTTAGCTTACTTGGATATTGTGCGGATGGTGACCAGAGGCTTTTGGTTTATGAGTACATGTCACTAGGATCATTGGAAGATCATCTTTATGGTACGTAAAAAGAATAAGCGTTGTATTACTGAACATGTATTTATTTTCTAGATTGTTTTTCCCTTCTTGAAGATGTATCGTTAATTTTGGAGTATGAAACTATATCCTTCAACCCTCTTTGGTGCAATGGAAGGGTCTGTAAGATGGTATTAGAGCGACATAGGTTCAAATCCCAATTCGTACGCATTTAAAAAGTGGATTTTTAAAAAGGGTTAATTGCACATATACCCCCTGTAGTATCGCTGTTTTGAGCTCACTAACCCTGTGGTTTCATTGTTGTTTTTTGACTCTTTTACCTGATATCTGCCAGAATTTCAACCGGCGTAAAAGAGTCAAAAAAAAATTAACCCAGGAGGTCCATCTGTAACAATGAACCTACATGAGTAGCAAGTTCGAGAGAGTGATACTAGAGGGGTCTACCTACAATTAACCCTTTTTTAAAAAGGTGCCTCTCTATTAAAGAGTTAATTTCACAAAATCACAGTTATTTTCGGTGTATTTGCAACAGGTCTAACTCCGGATAGGAAACGACTTGATTGGAATACAAGGATGAAAATAGCTGCTAGTGCTGCAAAGGGCTTAGAGTATTTGCACGATAAAGCCAACCCTCCAGTGATATACCGGGATTTAAAGTGCTCAAACATCTTGCTTGGAGAAGGATATCACGCGAAGTTATCTGATTTTGGATTGGCAAAGCTTGGACCAGTTGGCGATAAGACTCATGTATCAACTCGAGTGATGGGGACTTATGGATACTGTGCACCCGAGTATGCGATGACTGGGCAATTGACAATTAAATCAGATATTTACAGCTTTGGAGTTGTACTTTTAGAGATCATCACGGGAAGGAGGGCTATTGATAATTCTAGACCTGCGGGAGAGCAGAACCTTGTTGCATGGGTAAGTCAAGTTCAAAGTTCTAGCCCGAGTAAATTCTTGGCTGACAGGTCTAGTGGGCCAAATATCTAGAATTTAAGTAGAATTTGTAGTAACATGGACTTTGTTCATAAAAATACATGCTACTGTGCACTGTGAAAGATGAATTTGTGAATTGACCAATAAGTATGTGCATTTCTAACAAAGATAAAATGGGGACTTGGGCAAAAGAGAAAATAGGAGTACTGCACCATGAGAGCTACTCAGTTGACAATTTATGGTACCAAGCCTTGATTACCCGAATGTGACTTGATTTTATGGTTTGTGCATATGTCCATGTACATGTACATGTGTCCTCTCATATTATCTTTTGTTTTGGGGAAAAAAAAAAATCCTGAAGGGCCCTCTACAGAACATCATATGGAGAGAAAGGAGACAGTGACACTTACATATCACAAATCTTGATGCACATATCAGTAATGTCTATCAGTGCATTCACTCACACTGCACTGAAAGACAAGTGGCTACATTGATATGTCAAGTGCCATCCTCTCATTCCTATATGATTTTTTTCCATGATTTCAGCCCAAACTCATCAAAGGTGTGAAAATATGCGACACATTGCAATATCATTTTGTTTTTGTCAATTCAACATTATATTTGGTTGCAGGCTCGGCCATTATTCAAAGACAGGAAAAAATTCCCACAGATGGCTGATCCGATACTCCAAGGCCAATATCCAACACGAGGCCTATACCAAGCCCTCGCTGTGTCTGCAATGTGCGTCCAAGAGCAACCCACAATGAGACCAAGAATCGCCGACGTAGTCACGGCCCTCAGCTACCTCGCTTCCCAAAATTACAATTACAACCCCGAACCTAAGAGAAATTCGCCCCAGGCCTCACCGAGCACTCCAAGACCGAAAAGAGATAACAGCAGGAAACCAGCTGGCGGATCATCGAGGAAGTCCACTTCAGAAGAATAAACCGTTTTGAGTGTACTTTTATTCGGTGCCTGGTTATCAAATTTTGATCAGCTTTTGGGTAACTGGTGCGTTCCTTCAGAAGGAAGTTCTTTTGTTGTAGTTGTATATGTGAGTGGTGGGTCCTGATGTACCAATAGGCATTGATGCACTATATTGGCTGTGATTCATTTTGGTTTGATACATGATGGCATTTTTGTTGTTGTGAAGAAACATTGTGTGCCGTTGTGTTCTGCTTGTGCTCTATACTTGCTGGTATGCAGACTTGTGACAGTTTCAAGAGCTGCACAAGACATGAAAGGTTTTCCGAGGACGATATGTTAAAAGACTGAGAAACACGATGCATCATAAATATAATGCTATCATGCAAATTAACTGAGAAACTGGAGATTTTGAAGATTGCCAGCTTGAACTGAAGATGGCAGTTTGTGAAGACAGGCCAGGGTCAGAAGCCGTGTCCTTCTGGAACGTACTTCTCCGGAACATATAAATATGCTTTTGGTGTCATAAAAGACGTGGTTACGCATCCTTCCGACCTACTTTGTACATGATTGGGTTGTGGTGTAATGGTGGGCAGCATAATAATTAATTGTCGTTGGATTGAAGGTCTACAGTGGATAAAGTTGGCTGAAAATAGGGGATTTAGAAGTGCGCGTGATGAGTTGTCATTAGCTCGAAATGATAAAAATTAACAAAATTTGAGGATTATAGCCCACAAGAATCGTAAATTTTAAAGTTTGTATAATCAGTTGCCAATTGGTCGATATGAATGGAAATGGAAAATTGTGGGTTATGTATATGAAAATCGCAAAGTTTAAAGTATGCCTAATTAGTTGCTATTTGGTTGAAATGAATAAAAATTGGAAAAAAAAAAAATCATAGATGATATAGCCTGTAAGAATTGCGAATATTGAAGTACGTGTGATAAATTTCCGTTGGCTAGAAACATATGAAAACTAACAAAAAGCGTGAGTAAATAGACTATTAAAATCGCAACCTTTTAAGTTCACATAATTAATTTTTATTGGGTTGAAGAAAATGGAAAAAAAACCATTAGTTATAGCTCATAAAATTATGAATTTTAAAATACGCACATTCAATTGCTATTGGATAGAAACAAATAAAAATAGAAAGAAAATCGTGGATTATAGCCCATGAGAATCATGAATTTTAAAATATGCTTAATTATTTTTTATTTGGGTTGAATAGAATGAAAATAGATAAAAATCGTGGATTATAGGCCATGAGAATTGTGAATTTTAAAATGCCCATAATAAATTTCCACTAGGTTGAAAAATATGAAAATTGACAACAATCGTATGTTATAGCCCATTAAAATTGTAACTTTTAAAGTATGCATAATTAATTATTATTGGTTTTAAAAGAACTATAGACAAATTTGTGGGTTATAAATCATGAAAATTGTGAATTTTAAAGTAGACCTAATTATTTGTTATTTGGTCAAAATGAATGAAAATGGACAAAATTATGGATTATATAGTCCATGAGAATTGTAAATTTTATAATAGACATGATAAATTTGCACCGGGTCAAAACATATGAAAATTAAAAAAATCATGAGTTATAGCCCATTAAAATTACAAAATTTTAAGTATGTAGAATTCATTATTATTGGGTTGAAAATAATAAAAATGGACAAAAATTATGGATTTATAGCCTATGAAAATTGTGAATTTTGAAGTATGCCTAGTTTTGCCATTGGGTTGAAACGAGCAAAAATGGACAAAAATGGTGGACTAACTCAAGAAAATCACAAATTGTTATTGGGACGAAATAAAAAACATCGACAAAAATCATGAGTTATAGGCCATGAAAAAGATGATTACTTTAGTTTGCATAATTAATTGTTAAGGGTCAAAAAGAAAAAAAAATCATGGGTTATAATCCATTAAAACTATAAAGTTTGAAATATGCCAAATTAATTTCCATCGGATCGAAACTAGCAAAAATGGATAAAATTTGTTGTTTTTAAGCCCATGAAATCTGTGAATTTTGAAGTACACATGATTAATTATCACTTTGTTGAAACGAACAAAAATGGAAAAAAATTTATTGGTTGTAGCCATGAAAATTGCAGATTTTAAAGTATATCTAATTAATTGTCATCTGGTTGAAACAGATAAAAATGGATAAGTACACATACCAGTGAGGGTGCATCCCTTTTTTTTAGCATTTAGATCCTTCGATGTACAAATAGAGTTGTCTTTGTGTCCTGTCTCTTTCTGGAACACATTGAAATATTTGGATTCTTTCGTAACACATTGACTTTACTTGACACATAGTATAAGGGCCCGTTTGTTTTGTTTTTTTGCCACCGTGTCAGAACTGTGGCAGCTTTCTCCCAAAATCGCCTCTTAGAGGCGATTTTGGGAGAAAATTGCCACAGTTTTGTCACTGTGGCAGGCTTTCCTCACCTTTCCCTCTCAAAAAAAAGGAAACAAACAGCCCCAAACGGAAAGATCACTGTGCTTGAGAAATATAGATAACAAAAAGATAAGACAGTTTGAACATCAATAATCTAAGTTATAATAGCGGGTAAAAGTGAGTAAACCCCTACACCGGGTGTATTTATAATTAACTCTTTTTTTTATCTAAATTAGTATCTATAATTAACACTTCATTATATTTAATTATGTTGGCTTGGATAACATTCAAATCGAACCTCATTTTCTAATATCCACGTGTGTGTGTATATGTACATACTAGAGCAAAGTAACACAAAAGTTCCATAGGGTGCACCGTGAAAATATGAAAAATACTTCAGTCTCATCTTTTATTACATCTCTCACTAATTGAATAGTGCATGACATTAAACGTGCATTCAAAACAACTCAACCCTCAACTTTATGTACGAATCCCAAAATTCAATAATCTAAGGATTGACAATAATTTGGTATACATTTAATTCTATAGCTCTGAGTGCGCTTAATACTTTTCCATCTAACTCATGGTCTCCAAGACTCCCAGACACATGGCATCTCCTGTACCACAAACAACAGTGTTCAATTATTAAATGATAGTAATAATGCCATTATCAATGTCAAGAGCAAAACTGCAAACACAAACAAACATTATAGATGACAAATGGAACAATATAATATAATATATGGCAGCATTGATCTCAACAACTTTTATTGGCTTCTTCTTGAACCAAATATTTATTAAAATCCAATCAAACAATTGACTATCAACTCACATAATACATTGTTATACATAACAAAAAAAGTACAATGAATATGGCTTAAGGTGTAGATTCTCTCTTCAATTTAAATTGATAGTACAGCAGGCGAGCTCAGCTGATTGCGCCCAGGTTTTTCTTTGTTCTCATGAGCTGCTGAACTTAGCCAGAAAGTGATACAGCACAATATGAGATGACAATATACATCAAACTGGCAAGTTGATAATAATCTTTTTATAACCATTATACTCCTATTTCTCAACATTTTGATGCCCATTCATATCTCTGATAGGTGGAGCTTGCAAGTCTTGGCCTCCACCATTGGAGATCTTCGCTTCAACAGACTCGTCAAGGTTACCCGGCTTACCCTGCCAATTTAATGAATTCATATCAGCTGCAATTTGGTGAAATGGTATAACCATATTCTTAACTATCAAGAAACTTGGATAATATACATTTCAGAACCTTGATGGTGAAAGTATAGAAAGCAGAGCATTGAAAGATATTAGGTTTACCTTGTTTTTGTCACGCCAGCCAAGTGCAAATGGCCTCAAAAGTAAACCAGTTTTCCTTGTAGGAAAATCCTGTGATGGGTCCTGATTGGGCCTTAAATGGTGATTACCTGCAGATGAAGTCCTATAAAAAAAATTATCACAATCATCAGTGGCATATGCAAGTCAAAAATATTGTGCATATTTAGATATTGTGAAACCATAAATATGACCCAGTAACAACCACAAAATATCTAAGCATATCGAAATCTGTAGGCATGAGACAATTAACATTAATACCTTGGAGAGTGTGCCTTAACTTGGCTTGACTGATACTGCAGTGTAGCTTCCAACATAGTTTCTGCCATTATTGCCCTCTCTTCCATTTGTGCAAATAAAGACATCGCTTCTTCATATTTTTCCTGCAAACATCTGGTAAGGTGGGATAAATACATACAACCAGTAGACACGAAGTCCAGCCAATTCAGGGATCTTAAACAAGCAGATGACACAAGATATTCTTCAAAATCTCATAGGCAGCAGAGTTGAATAGGTTATACTGCACAGTTCCAGGTTTTAATCCAAAAATATTCTTCGAATATTGCATTCAAGGCTATTCTAGTGTGTACAAAGAACAGAAGCAAATGGTGGTGTACATGATCAAAGGCAAGAAAGAACCTGGAACACATGGGCAGAATTTTTCTGGGCCGCAGCTTCTTGCTCAGCATATATACGAGCATCTTCGGTTACTCTCTGTTCTTGTTCCACCCGCATCAAAATCTAATAGTAGTACAATGAGGTTTAATGATATATGTGCTTCTACTGATTGTAAAAACAAATAAAAAAAATAAACATAAGCAAATTTAAGAGAAACACACCTGAAGCATGGCGTGCTCTTGTTCTTGCTTGTCTTTAAGAGCTTGTTGCAATTCTGACTTCTCTTGCTCTAATTCCTCCACCTGTCGGACGAAAAATGAAAATCCAAGAAAGATGTTCGATAAAAGCAAAGGAATGACATTCACAAGCTCAAGCTGCAGGATCTGGAAAGATCTCAAGATCTTTTATCAATATAATTATTTTCCCTGTTCATTGTGTTATGGTTGAAGCAAAGCAGGGTCCATTTATTTAATGCATCAGAAAACTGACCTGAATTCAACCCAGGTAACTCATTTAAGTGGTCAGGTCTGGTACAACTTCATACAGAAGCTTGCATCAGGCCAAATTCTATAAAGGCTTTACTTTTTATAATAAAAGAAATTAAAAAGACATTGTTGAACCTGCACAGAAGAGGGCTAGCTGCTGATTTCTATAATAAAAGAAATTAAAAAGACATTGTTGAACCTGCACTGAAGAGGGCTGCTGATTTCTTCATGAACTGACCAAAAAATCCATGAAACTATGGTCTAATATGTTATATGTACATTGAATTTGGATGGCTAAGAATGCAGCTGTTGGTATCAAATCGTAAATTAATCTGGGGCTTCAAGCTTTTTTTTTTAATTTAGATAACCAAGTCCAGAATTGAACCCAAGACTGTGGTAGCCATATTGGAACCTCCCAACCGTCCGGATCACCCACGATGGGTGGGGTTCAAGATTTTTTTTTGAGAAGAGAATATATTCTTTATATACCTAAATCTATGCCCCATGTGTCTAAACAAATCTGAATCTGGAAAGAAACTACCTGGATGCTCAGGATCTTTGCAGAATTTGTTGAAGCTTCAAAGAGTGAGTTTTAACAAAATTTATTATATTGGCTGGAAATTGCAGATACAGTTCAATTTGATTGTATTCAAACATGATTTAGAATTTAGATAACCAAGTCCAGAATTGAACCCAAGACTGTGGTAGCCATATTGGAACCTCCCAACCGTCCGGATCACCCACGATGGGTGGGGTTCAAGATTTTTTTTTGAGAAGAGAATATATTCTTTATATACCTAAATCTATGCCCCATGTGTCTAAACAAATCTGAATCTGGAAAGAAACTACCTGGATGCTCAGGATCTTTGCAGAATTTGTTGAAGCTTCAAAGAGTGAGTTTTAACAAAATTTATTATATTGGCTGGAAATTGCAGATACAGTTCAATTTGATTGTATTCAAACATGATTTAGGACGGTTTACAAAACAAAAGCCCAGTAATAAAACATGTATAGTCCTCGGTACAAGTATGATTCAAGTAATAAAACATGTATAGTCTTCGGTACAAGTATGATTCAGATTGCAGATATACCTTGGCACTCAAAAGTCGTCTATTATCCTGCTTGACCATCTCTATTAGTGCTGTCTCCAGCTCTTCAGCTCTGAGTTAAAAGAGAACACATGTTTGGCCAGTTGGACTTGGATGGTTGTAAAATGAGTCGAAAATCAGCTCCAAGGTGATAAATGTCGTCTTTAATAAGTATTCTTGTTACATGACAACATATATATAATTCCAAAGCCCAGGCTAAGCTTTCAATAACAAACAGATGCACAAGTAAATGAGGCAAACTGAATATCCAAAGAGTAACAAACTACCCTTTCTCTAAGCAGAACGAGAACATGAGATTGAGCCCTCATATTAACCACAAAGTACTAGTGTTTCAAAAAAATTATCCAGCGCATGAATAACCTTCAACCAATTTGGGATATTTCACTCTTTGGATGCATTAGATACTGGGATCAAACTATTGTTTCCTATATAGTAAACAGCTTTACCCTACACTAATTGTCGTGGACATCTGCATTTGCGTGTGTATGGAAGGATCTAATGCAACATAATACTTGCATGTGTTGGAGCATAATGTATTTTTCTTCTAGACTCTAAAGTAAACATATACTTGGTTACCTCCTAAGATGGTTCATACTTGATTAACCAGCATTAGTGAAAATAACAGCATCCCACCTGAGAACAGCAGATCTTTTCTCCTCGAGCAATCTGCATAACTCAACCTTTAACCATGTCACCTGAATTATAAAGAAAGTGAAAACAAATAAAGATAAAAGGGACTAATTAGTAGTCATGTCTGAGTTGGCTGGTCTTTAGCATTCACAAGCATAGAATAAATAAAAAGGCAATTTTTTACCATGGAATTTTACATGGAAAAAAATTAATTCGAAGAAACTAAAATGAAAAAGAATACAACAGCATAAGTTTTAAAGTTCATTCCAATTTTCAATGCTATAACTATAGCCAACAAGTCATTGTCCTGAACTATGTACAATTGCACGAGTGCTTAGTTGTTCTTCGAAGTTCAAGTCTTAAAGTATTGAATAATTGCTGGAAAAAGTAGAGCGTGGTGGCACTTTGTGTTACTTTTGGCTATAGTTCAAGTGCTTTAATTTCAGTCAGCTACGGAAGGGTTATAATGTATTTCAATTTGGTTAAATAGGTCTATCAGCAGTGTTAGCTCACTTGATAAATGACTACATTGTCCTTGGCTACTGTGATCTAGACTTTCCTTTAGTACACTACAATGTCTATAACCAGAAATGGCCTAACCCTTCAATGGCACAGTTCGGAATAACACAACAAATATGGCAACCTGGACACTGGCCATCAATGATTTTCAGCTTGACAAACTATATTTTTCAATATCTTAACTGTAACACAGACGCTTATGCAATACTAAGTGTAAGTTGGCATGTAGAAAGCTTATTAAGTCATGCTTGGATACCACTAGAGTCCTATTAAGTTGGCCTGTAGAAAGCTTACTAAGTCATGTTTGGATACCACTAGAGCTCTATTGCATGTACTGTACAGTGTTACTGAAACTATGATGAAGATAAGTAACAAGAGGATTGCCTGTTCTTTCAAATCAGGTTCAGAAGCTGAGTCGGCATCAGTCGCTATCTTACTGAGAAAACCCTCTATTTTTGAAGAATCAGACTTCACTAGATGTGGGTTCCCATTCGTGTGCCTGTCATCTGAGCCTTCTGTTGGGTTTGCCTCTGTAAGTAGAGAACCTGGGCCATTTTTGAAACCATAAAACTTTGAAGCAAGACCCTGGGAGTCCCTCCAGGCACGAAGTCCTTTGGACCTCTCCTCCATGGCAGCTAAAACTGCTGGCCTGTGCTTATTCCCTAAATCCTGCAGTCTATTTTCATTTACAGCTTGATAACCCATACAAGCCGTCAAAACAAGCTGACTACTGTCAAAAGTTGAACCACTAAGTGACTGCAATAAGGTAACTGCATCTCCAGCATCCTTTGTAGTCACTAATGCGGGCCCTACAAATCAAAATGTACTCATATAGTAAGAAGAAAAAGTTCAACATATGATGCTTGACAAAAGGGGCATGGCCAACAAGGGACCTTTCTCTGATATTCGTGTAGAAGTTATACACAATATATAAAGTTAAAAGTAAGAAACAAGTACCATATAACTCCATTAATGCAAGAGCTGTACGAAATAACATGACCCGGTTTCCTTCAAACAATAGCACATCCCATACACGAAGAACTGAAACAAGACGAACATTATGAATATATAACAATGACACGGCTACCGGTCACCTTGGAAAATATACAGAAACCAAATAAACAATAAAGCTTTCTCAGGAGATAAAGAGAAGCTAGAAGTTTTACCACTTTCCCAAGGAAGCATATTCACGAATATGGAAAGGAACCAGGGTCCAGTGACCCATGCTACCTGCACACCTAGGTAATCCAGATGATTCACTGAAATACAAGAGAACAACTATGAGAAATCATATATGAATGCACATCATTAGACATGCATCTTCAACAAGCATATACATCTTTACAGACCCAGTTTTGGAAATCGCTCACGCACTAACTCCTCCAAAACTAGTTGATCCACCTGCACAAAAGCACCTTAAGAAGTGGCACCAAAACTATGTAGTGGTACTCAAAAACCTTTTATCGTCATAATATGAAAGACAGGCTATAGAAATTGGAAGGTTTGCATGATTTACTCCAAAAGAAAATTACAGAGAAGAAATGTTACCTGAGATTCGATCATTTCCTCAGAATAGTATCCATCAAAATAATCGTCAATAATACCCGTTAAAGTCCTGACAGGTTGAATGGAATTCTGATCAGTAAGATTGAGTTCTACAAATATTCATACGAGCAGAACCTTGCAACATGAGTAACTACTAAGCAAACGGTTGAATAACCATGCTTCTCCACAAATATATGATATTGAGGCTTTGAAGGAGCTAATGATGTGACATACCAAAATGCATTCTCCTCAGGCATCAGTAATAGTAATAGTCCTGCAAAAAAATTCATGGCCTGCAAAGCACGGAAAAGGAATTAAATACAAATCATAAAAATATGGTACACTTTATCTGATTAAACTGAAGAAGTTCATTAAGAAATTATTCTCATCAGTGCAGAATATAGATCAATGGTGCTATTTCACGGAAGCATCAGCACACGTAAGCAGAGTAACATTGTTGTGACCTTTCATCATATGTACCGAGAGAATAATGCTAGTTTGACCAATAATTCACAGACACTGATTTCTATGGAAAGGGAAAGTATAGAAGAAAAATATTTCATCTGCTGTTGTCTGCTGATTAATGGTCTGTGTATCGTATTCAACAATATCCAATCTACAAGCAAAGGGCAAAAGTATATGTTCATATAAGTAGAAATTAAAATATTCAATAGAAACTACTTGCTGACTAGTTCAAACTTCATATACAAATTCAGTAAAATTGCAAACAATTGCTTCTGAGACAACTCTTAGATATCAGATTTAAGTTTAGGTTTATGTTTATTCAGTAAATTCTACTTATACCTAAAAAATATATAAGGGTAGAACTCTACAGTTTGTCCAAAAAATTAACAGTTAAATAATCTACTGAAACATTATAAACCACTCCAATCCAATATGGATGTATGATTACAATATATAAACATAAGCTGTTCCAAAAAGATTCAAATACCTGGCAGTATCCAACAGATGGATTATGCCGAGCATATGCAGTAAGTAACCGCCTCAAAGCATTTCTCCCATCCTCATCTAAAGCAGGATGCCCTGGGAATGTTCTAGGCAAATCCTACAAAGGAGGAAAAAATTTGTCATTTTTGTGATGCAACTCAATCAGTAAGTTTCAAGATTCTTCACAATGATAAAATTGAAAATCAGACTTCAAACAAAATTCATGCTAAAATAAACCTTTTCAATCTGACCCTTCCATTTTTCAGTCACACACTCGTTCAATACTTTGGATCCATTGTTAGCATCATCCAGAGTGGAACCTTCAGCAAACTTGCTATTGCCAAAATCGCTTTCCATGTTTAGCAAGTTGTTATAATACCCTTCCACTCTTCGTGTTCCAATACCCACAAAGGCTTGCCATAGCTGCATGCAGAAGAGCATAACTAAGTGTTGTAACCATCATAAAATCGTAAAGAAGCAGAAACAACTTCAAATATAAAGCACTAGATGCACCTCTCCTCTCAAAGCCATTGGCAAACCATCACGAACTAAACATTCAAACTCTTCTTTCCAGGGGGAGAATGGTTCAGGGGCCGCACTTTGACTAGCCATAGTTCCAGAAGAGCTAGCTTTGGTACTATCAGCAGATGTCACTTCTTGATTTGGATCTGATCTTTCCACATCATAGAACTCATCATCAGAGTCTTCAGACTGCTTTGCTTCTTCAATTGAAGCAAGATGAGCTCCGTTTGTTCTTCGATTCTCAATGTCGTTTATCCAGCCCTTCCTGCTCTTTACGCGGGAACTCATCATCTGTTCAATGGAAGCGAGGGAGGGCCTAATCTTAGACCATATCTGAATCTTATGGGTTTTAACCTCCTTTCCCACTGGTCCCTCGTAGGTCATCCTATTATTCTGCTCATTGCCATTAATCTCTCCCGATAATGAAATTGAACACTCTTCATTGGACACTGCCTGCCTTTCAAGAAAACTGGTCCATCTATCCGATCTCTCTTCTTCCTCCTCCTGAATTTATATATTGAACAAGAAATTCGGATCATAAGAAACACAATTCGACCTTTAAAGGTGAAATTACATAATGAAAAGGGAAGCATTGCCTTATAGATGTTTGCATACTCTCGATATCTCTGCAAGTGTTGAGGTCGTACAGCAAATCCATATGCATCTCTGTTCAAATCCTCACCAATAAACATCACTCAAGCATAAATCAGGAGAGAAAAAAAATTCTGTAAAGAAATATATATATTATATGGGCTCATCCATTCGGTAAAACTAAATCAGCCAGTTGCCACACTAAAATTGCAATAAGCCCCTCCATCTGATATAAACATCTATATTGCATGATTGTCAAATTTAAAAACCAATTAATGAGTAGATTCTAATTAATGTTAGCTCAAATTGCCTCATCCATTGTAAAATTACTCGCAAAAAAATTTAAATAGTTAAGAAGTAATTGGTGCCTCCCAGCAAGAGAAACAAATTAATACGTAAAAGTAAAACCATATCCACAAAGGTTCATTTATTTATTTTGAACAATAAGTTAAATTTTAGCGATCAATTCCACTAATTATCAAGATTCAACCCTAATCAACTCCTAAATTAACGAAACCACAACTCTAGAATCCCACGAAAACTAAATTAAACTAATCCAGCTAGAAACCAAGTTTCAAAACCCAGAATTATCAGTCCTCAACTGCCACCGAAACACTAAATCGATCGGAATCAACTCCTCAAAAGCCTTATTCTTGCTTAAATCTTCAAAACCAGAAACTGCATTGCCAGATTCCAGCAAAACAACAGATAAAAGACTACTTTTTTAAAAAAACAAAAAGTAACTTTAGCAATAAATACCACTAATTAACAAGATTCAGCTCCAACCAACTCCTGAATTAAACAGTCACCAGCTCCTAATCAGAGCTAAACCCTAGAATCCCCTCCACAACGAAATTAAGTTGATCCTTATTACAATCAAGTCTCAAAACCCTCAATTAACAGTTATCAACTCCTATATAGAAAATCTAAATCAACCAGGTAAAAGCCTTAATTCCTGCTCAAAACTCCAGAAACCCAAAAACTTTGCATTACCCAAATTCAGCAAAAAGACAGAGAAGACGGGGGGCAAATTGCGAAAAGAAACGATCTTTGACTGACCTCTTGTGCTCGAAGGTGATCAGAGGGAGACTTTTTCCCTTCATTCTCTCTCTCTCTCTCTCTCTCTCTCTCTCTCTCTCTCTCCCCCCGTCCTCTTCTCTCTCTCTCCCGAGATTTGAGAGCGGTCAAAATCCGATTTTGTTCACTCTCGGATACGATATTTATAGGAGGAGATTTAGGATTGCGGCGGC